AGTAAAATATACTACATTGAAATAAATATTTATTACAATAAAAACAAATAAAGCAAGTCAAACAAGAAATTAGAACAATGATGGTATCCATGATCTAAGATGCACCCTACCATTGCAACCACAGCTAGATGTGCACTAGAGAACCCGCCTTTAAAAATGATAAATTTGACAATAATAATATAAACCATAATCTTCATTAATATTATCAAAAGTTAGATCTTTACATACACGAGTATAAGTTACCATCCAAAATTATCAAATACACGAGTCTCATTGAAATTCAATGTGCCTTAACCAAAGATACCACAAGGCAGCAATATTAAATACTTCATTTTCAGATAAATGGTGCGGCGCTCGCCAAATGCTCAACTCCAAGACTTCTGCATTTATAAATTTCCAATCAAGGTTTTTAAAACCGAACCGAACCGGCCGGTTGAATCGATCAGACCGATACCCGATGATGAAAACGGTTCGGTTCATATAAGAAAACCATTTGAGGTCAAAACCGGTCAAAACCAGTAAAAATCGGTCAAAACCGGTCAAAACCAGTAAAATCGGTCAAAACCGATCAAAACCGGTAAAAATCGATGAAAACCGATAAAAACCGATAGAACTGGTGAAACCAGAAAAACCACCGGTTCAATTTCTCATGCAATCTTCTTTCAATTTTTTCCAATTTCACCCTTCTCATTCCTTTCTTATACCCATTTTAACCTTTAACTTTAACAAAATTACAAAATTATCAACACCAAATTAAAAAATCCATGCCTACAGCTTGCTCCTCTCATCAAACCTTCCTTATTGTTTGGACCGGCCGGTTCACCAGTTCAACCGGTTGAACCGGTCAAACCAGGAATCGGACCTGCAAACGGTTCAATAACCGGTCCGGTTTTGAAAACCTTGTTTCCAATAGTAAGTTATAATCACATCCAAAAGTTAAAATTCAATTAAAAAAAAAAAAAAAAACTGTTTATGTAAATTTTTATTCATGAACAATGTCTGGACCATAACACCTTAACTAAGGCTCTGGTTCATTCACAGCGTGTGAATGAAGCTTCAAATAACACGTTTTCCACTTAACTTATATAATGGTTGAAGAGAACCTAATCCAAGAGAAATAAGAAATAGGAAACAAAGTACAACAAACACATTTAATTAAGCAACAATGCGACTAACAGGTTTTAACCAATCACGTCCTTCAAAAAAGAAACAAGGCCCTTTTAAAACACGTTTTATGAATTCCATTTTCATGATTATAGAGTCTGGCTTTGACAGAAGATTAGAGATTGCCACTGTTTCTCATTTCATGCGTATCAAGACATGTAACTAAAGAATGGTTCCTCTTAAACTTCCATCCAATTCGAAGAGAAATTTTAATAGCAAGAAAGCCATATAAGTACTCGAACCCAAGACCTTCACAAATTCATAGCATCATATATTATGTATTTTTGAACTATCTAATTCAACACATGTCAGACCAAAAATGAGGGGCAAAAGTAAGGCTCAAGCCTTTATTCCAATTCACAGAAATGGCAATAGTCACTTTAGCAGTAGGGATTTGAGTTAGCACTGGAAAAAAAAAAAAAAAAGAGAACAGGAAAAACAAGGATTCTGCAAAGGCAAACTAAAAAAATTAGGAAAACACTATTAGAGAGAAAAGAAAATAAAGAAGAGAGAAGAGAATATACCTGTGAAATGATTTGAATTTCTGTTAGACTATGCAACATAACATCACTCCAATAACAAAATAGAAACATACCACAAAATCCAATTGTGCACATTTTTTCAGTGCATATCCGGTACATCTGGAACAATAATTACAAGTAAAACAGGGTTAAAGCAACCCAGAACAACAATAATGGCCAACATAAAACAAAAAAAAGGGAAGCAACAAGGAAAATCTTCATTGATAATAGCAGATAGAAGCATGAAATTAATCAAAATTCAAAAGCAAAAGATAAAAATTTGATAAATGAAATGATGAAGGTAAGAGAGAATGTCCAATTACTGGAGTTGGACAGTGAGAAAGAATCAACCAAGCGAGAGGATCAAAACCATCAAGGAGTAAGCTGATTAAGGAGCAAAATAAGGTCCTTTATCCAATGGGTTTTAACCAATCAGCTTCAAAATCCAAAAAAAAAAAAAAAAAAGAGAAATAAGAAAATCAAAAACCCGATGATTCAGTTAGTTTTTTTCACTCTTTGCAGTGCTTCAACTAAGCTAGTCCAACACACCAAGATATCCAAATGCTCTGTTTTAATAAATAATGTTCAATCTAAGTACTTGAAACAATCCTGGATCATCAAAAAGAGTAGCCAACCAGTGAGTTGGCAATGATGAAATTTTACCCAAAAACACACTATCTGATGAAATTTTACGGCAAATAAATTGCTAACTAACTCACCTGTTGTTATTAGCATACCAAAAGATAAAAATTGCCCAATAACACCAAAGCAGCTAAATGGATTATCTAATAAAGCAAAGCAGTTCTGAAATCACACCCAAAAGAAAAAAGAAAAAAAAAAGGAGGAAGCAAAAGAACAACATTTTACCAAATAAATAAGAAACCTCAATATTCCAAAGGCGCAGCTGGAATAACAGAAAAATTTGCATACACAGTTAGTACGAGGCTGTGCATCCAGAAAGGGAGAACGAAGAAGGCTGCTGTTGTTTATTCTAGTGACTTGCATCTTTTCTGGAAACAAATTAATCTGATAAATTTCTTCAAAAAGAAAGAAAAAAAAAGAAATTCAAAGAGATTTCTATCAAATTAAAAGCCCTAAATTGAGAGAAGAACCTTGGCGTGAATTTCTTTAATGAATCAAGAAACCCTAGCTTGGGCCAATACCTTTTCTCTGTTCATTTGGATATGCAACAATCTGAACCAGAAGATTCATTAGAGGATTTGAGTTCTGGAGGATTGCCATGGCATCACTGAAGTCGCGTCCAGCGTAGTGACCTTCGATTGCCTCAGTGGAGAGAGACGAAGAAGCTGAGCTCTGTAAGCTTCTCTAAGGAGGGGGAGTTACAAAATGAATCCTTACACAGTGGTTTTTTTGTAAATAAAAAGAAGTGTGAGGATAAAATGAAAATACCATGTAAATTTCATCAACCTTGAAACGAAAAGCTCCCGCGGAAGCACGAAATTAGTGCTTCTGGAATTTGCAAAGGAACGAAAAGAAAATGTGTTTTTTGAAAGCTGCAGCCCGTTTCAGAAGCTGGTACATTTTGTGCAGTTTGTGCCTTTAAAGTAAAAAAAAAACTCTTTTTACAATATGCACCAAACATGCCTTTCCTTCTAGATTTGTAGACACCGTGGAATCTGTGGTCCCCCTTGATTATTCTTGTAAATGGTGTGGAGTGTGGGCCATGCTTTCCATCCGCTTGTCGATTCGTAATAGTACGACAGTAATTGCGTAAATGATAAGGTATGACTTGTGGTTGTGGACACAGGTGCCTCCAGTAAAGGAGAAAAAGGGCAAATCAGTCCCTGTACTCTATGATTGATAGAAAATCAGCCCCTTAACTAAAAACAGTGGCTAACAAACCCTCAAGCTCTTAAAATGGTGGAAAATCAGCCCTTTCGTGAAGGCTGATGTCAGCAATTTGGTCAAAATTAATAGAGCACATGTTAGTTGTGATTCCTAATTTACCTGCACGTAATGTGAATGAAGTTTTTAATAAAAATTTTGTTTGAGAAAATTTATTATAAAAGTTTTGTTTTAGAAAAATTAAAAATATTTGATAAAAGTTCTTATCTAAGTATTTCTAAAATAAAAAGTTATTTGGTAAATTTTTTGATAAAAGATCATTTTATTTAATGTAATATTAAAATAATTGAAAATGCTGTTTTTATTTAAAGAAAACACAATCTATATTTTTTTTTCATATTTATAGAACTTTAATTCCTTATAAGTTTTAATTATTTTAACGTTGATGAATAGAAAAGGATTTTTTATATTTACAAACATAAATGTTTAGTAATTAACCATTATAATAGATAAATATTTCTATGTTAACATTATAAAATAAAATATTTTACTTGTTAATGACATAAATAAGAAAATGAAATTAATAATTATGCCAAATTTTGATTGACTTTTCCTTAAAAATAGAACTATGGAAAAGTGAGATCATGCTCTAATTATCTATTTGATAAGTAAAATTGTTCTATAAAATTCTGCCATTTCCATTCCTCAAGCACTTTAAGCATATAATTTGGATAAGAGTTAAACCAATCTAATTCTTTATCCTCATGTTTTGGTTGAGTGAAAGGAAGTAGGAGGTTGGCTAAATAAGTGTTTAATTTTTTTTCTTGCCCATCTTTATCAAAAGCAGAGAAACTAAGAAATTTTTAGGATCCCTTGCAGGCAAACCTATGTACCTACAAGTTAAAATTACTTCTATACTAAAAAAAAAACTTCACTGCAGTGTTATATACTGAATTTGCCCTATAATTTTGTAAGAATGAATTAAATAAAACAATGAATCATGTTATAAGTAAAACGAAAACATTCAATCAGAGTAAAACAAAATTTTAGGATGCCATCAGGCATAAACAATGAAATACAGTCTAGCAAAAAAAAAATTCAAATTGACATATGCAAATGTAAAAAACAAATAAGGATACATCTAAGGCTATACATTTCCATTAGAGGTGGCAAAAATCTATTTGATCCGTCAACCTAACCCTAACCCAATCTGTAAAAATGAGTTAGGGTCTACATATCTTAATCCGCAACCTATAGATAACTCGTAATATCAACCCGTATAGGTCACGAGTCGGATTAGAGTTAACCCGTGGGTTGACAGGTTGACTCGTTTACTTTATTTTTTATTATTATTTTTAAAAATATTATACTTATTATTCTTAATTAATTTTCTTATGGATAACTCTTTCCATTAATTCATACTCTTCAACCTCATTTCTATTATTTAAATGGTTTTGAACTTATTTTGAGTGTTCACTCATCATTGTTTCTTCTTCTTTCTTTATAAATTATGTGGGTCTGATCTAATTACTAAGTATTATGAATTAAATGATAATACAATTAAAAATATTAAATATGTGATGTTAGGATATAAACATAATAATTTAGTGAAAGATGTTCTTGGAAGAGCAATTTCATCATTAAAAAAAGGGCTTAAACTCCTTGATAATGTTTTAAGATGATTGTAAAATTAAAACTTTATTTTCCAAGAAATTTAAATATTTTAAGTTTAATATTGTTAATCAACTTATTGTTATTTATAACTTTATGATTTTTTTTAATTTAAATATTTATAGTGGAGACTGTAAAGTGTTTAGTGTTAACGAGTTATTATATTTTAATTAGATTTAGATATATATAATTTTATTATAAAAAATGAAGATAAAGTTAACCTACGGGTTAACCCGTAACTTGTTAGGGTCGGGTTAGGGTTAGATTTTTCCAACCCACAACCCGTCTACGACCCAACCCGTATAACCTATCACCCAAGTTGACCCAACCCGAACCCGACCCAACCCACCCGTTTGCCAGGTCTAATTTCTATGCATTTTGTCATTATTTTCCTTTCAAACAAAGCTGCATCAATTTATGAACAAGGAAACAAACTACAAGAACACAAAATACCACGCTCAAAACAAAAATTAATTAATCTAAAATTAAGGAAATCTCATCAATACAGTAAACTAATTTGAACTAGTAATTGCAGTAATAGATTGAGTTACAAACTTCGAAGTTCAAATTAACAATAAAGAACCATATCAAACTCAATGAATCCAATAAAAATTAATCCTCCAGTCATATGCTCATGCCACAATCAACATATACCTCAGAAAGAGCATCTGCCAAAACAAACTCCAACCAACAAAACCTTAAAATATCAACTTTAAGAGCTGCATTACATGAATAGTTGCAATTACTCATTAGCCTTTAAGAGATCACCTCGTACCTATTGAAATCGAAAAACCCATTATCAAAACAATGAAATCCATATTGAAAAGAGAGAAAAACATCAAAAAGATTTGATCTTTTTACCTCTTTCAAGTACTTAGCATAATTGGCGAGAAGAAGGCAGTCTCTGGGATATGTTTTTAAGACAGTGATTCATTCACCCTTCTTCATCACACACTCTGTTACACACCCTTAGTCTTTGTTACTTTCTCCGTTACTCTCCGTTAAGCACCAGCCCAACCCTTTCTTTCTCCCTCTCCTTCCCTTTCTCCTTATTATTGTTCACCATCCTCCTTACTGATCAGAAGCATCAGAATCCCTCTAGTTGATGAACTAGAAACATACAAAGACCTCCATCCTCATCCTAATCATCTGCAGCCTCATCTTCCTCTTCAACAGCTTGGGTTCCTTCAAACCCACCACTAACAAATCTACTTTTGCCACCACTGCCCTGCAGTGCGATATATTCATTGAGAACCCAGTTGTGGATCTTAGAGAAATATTCATTAAGTGCTAGTAAGTGGATTGTTAAGATGTGAACACATTTATTGTAAATATTTTATACCTTAAAATATTCTCTTTATATATTTTATACCTTAGAATATTCTCTTTGTAAACACCTATATATTAGTCATTGTACATACAGTATTATTCAAGAAAGCAATAAACCTTTCTTCAGATATTTCTCCTTCTTTTCCGTTTAACATGGTATTAGAGCTATAAGCTCATGGTTCTTCTTTTTTTATCATCACTGTTTGGTTTATGAGTTGGTTTTTCAAATCTATTCTGGATCTAAAACTTTGCCATTGGGTTCTCTTCTCCTATAGATTTGATTATTTATTCTCAAGCACTTTCTGAGAAATTTTTCTAGTATTGTGAGTTCAACTGATTCTATGGCGAGTTTTGAAAGAACTATGACTCATTCTACTATTGTAATGATTACTAAAGATGTGAGAGACCAACCTATTGTCAACCCTGAATCTATAAAACAGGTGATATTAAATCTTTTTATTGCCTTATCGCCTTATCTACTACTCCAAGTACTAAATCTTGGTATTTTGATTCTGGTTGTTATAATTACATGTCTTCAACTACTGCTCATTTCTCTTCAATGTCACCAAATAATTTCTTTCCTAACATTTATTCTGTTGATGGCTCCCCTATGAATGTTAGTCACACTGGCAATATTTCTATAAATTCATTAACTTTACCAAATGCTTTCTTGGTTCCAAAACTTAGTTATAATCTTTTATCTATTGGTCAATTGTGTGATCTTAGTCTTAAAGTAACATTTTCTACTCATGGTTGTCATGTGCAGGACCCACAGACAAGACAACTTCTTGGAACTGGTTGTAAGGTCGGACGTCTGTTTGAGCTCAATTATCTACACATTCCTCATCATAAAATGGATACACCATCATTTTTCAAATGACCGATTCATCCAAACCCTACTTTGTGATGTTGAATTAGAGTCTTTGAAAATTCCATATCAACAAATCTTCCAAGCCTATGCTGCTACTAACATTTCTCCTCTTCATTTATGGCACTCACGACTTAGAGACACCTCAATCGGTAAACTTCGTCCCTCTTATCTCTCATGGTTTATTAGGATATGTTCCGAATGAATCCTTACATTATGGGTCATGTCAATCTGTAAAACAACCAGCTTTATCTTTTTCTAATAGTCATTCTCTTTCTGTTGCTTCTTTTGATCTCGTGCATTTTGATGTTTGGGGTCCATCTCCGACACCTACAATGGGGGGTTCCAAGTATTTTGTGTTATTTATTGATGATCGTACTTGTTTTACCTAAATATATCTTATGAAAAATCGCTTTGAGTTACCACAAATTTATATTGATTTTACTACCATGGTCAAGACCTAGTTCTCTAAAATTATCAAAGTTTTGAGGACTGACAATGCCACTGAATATCTTAATACTAAATTTCAATCCTTTCTGAAAGAACAGGGTACACTGGCACAATAATCTTGTCCTTACACTTTTGAACAGAACGGACGAGCTGAACATAAACACAGACACATCCTTGATTATGTTCATACTCTGCTCATTTTGTCTTCTTGTCTAAAGCGATTTTGGGGTGAAGCTGCTCTTATAGCTATTTATCTCATTAATCGGATTCCATCATCAATCATCAATAATAAGTCTCCATACGAATGTTTACATGATATTCCTCCTACCTATGATCTTTTTAAGGTTTTTGGTTGTGCTTGTTTTGTTCTTCTTCCACCTCATGAACATAATAAGCAAGAGCCTAAAGCTCGATTATGTTGTTTTTTGAGTTATGAGATTGCACATAAAGGATATCATTGATGGGATCCTGTGTCACAAAAACTCTGAGTCTCACATCATGTTATCTTTTAGGAACACTATGTTTTCCTCATTATCAAACTTCCAGGTGTCGTCTTCTAATCAACCTCCACTTTTTACTAACCCTTCTATTAAGCTATTTCCTAGTGACTCTAATGTAGATACATTTGATGAGCTCCATGATGCCTCTCCACATGCTCCACCTAGTTCTATAGAAGATGCTCTGCCAGTTGGTAATACATTAAACAATGGTGAGTCTTCTTCCCTTCCCTCTTTTATATCACCTATTGGATCTGACCCTATTGAGCCTGAAAATGAGTTCCTTAATCCACCTTCAAGTCGTCCTACTTGGGTAAGAAATACTCCTAACTATCTTTACGACTATCATTGTTTTCCTGCTATTACCTTCTTACATGAGCCTCAATCTTATGAAGAGGCCTCTTCTAACCCTCTTTGGCAGCAAGCTATGCAAGATGAATTACAAGCTCTTGAGAAAACTCATACATGGGATTTAGTTGATCTTTCTGCTGGAAAGCCTTTGGTAGGTTGTAAATGGGTGTACAAGATCAAAACTCGCTTTGATGGTTCTATGGAGCCTTACAAGGCTCGTTTGGTTGCTAAAGGATTTACTTAGGAATATGGGATTGATTATGAGGAAACCTTTGCACATGTTGCTTGTCCTACTTCAGTTTGTAGTTTGATTGCTATTGCTGCTGCAAAAGGATGGAAATTGTTTCAGATGGACGTGAAAAATGCCTTCCTAAATGGTGATCTTGTAGAGGAAGTTTACATGCAACCACCTCTTGGACTTGAGCATCCTGCAAACAAAGTTTGACAATGGAAGCGAGCTTTGTATGGTTTGAAACAAGCACCTCGAGCTTGGTTTGATAAGTTTAGCACCACCATCAGTGAGTTTGGTTTTACTTCTAGTCCTCATGATACTGCATTGTTCATATGCAAGACTAATCATGGTTTGGTTCTATTACTTCTTTATGTTGATGATATGATCATTACTGGGGATGATATTTCAAGTATTCATGATCTTAAGCAATTTCTCAATCATAAGTTTGAGATGAAAGATCTTGGTGTTTTGAGTTATTTCTCAGGACTTGAGGTCACTTTTCTAATGATGGTTATCTTTTCTCCCAAACAAAATATGCTTCTGATCTTATATTTAAAGCTGGACTCACTGATAGTAAGATTGCATCTACTCCTCTTGAGCCAAATGTTCGACTTACACCTATAGATGGTTCTCCATTAGCCGATCCTACTGCTACAGACAGTTGGTTGGAAGTTTGATTTATCTCACTACAACGTGACCAGACATAGCTTATGCAGTTCATGTTGTTAGCCAGTTTATGGCTACACTTCACTCCACTCACTATGTAGCAATACTTCGCATCATTCGCTATATTAAAGGTACCATTTTTCATGGACTTCACTTTCCTGCTCGTTCATCTTTTGAACTACATTCCTTAATCTCTTGGCATAGTAAGAAGCAGACAGTTCCATCACGTTCTAGTACAAAGGTCGAATATCGAGCACTCGGAGACACCATGTCAAAGTTACTTAACTTACGTTGGCTACTAGAAGATATGTGTGTTCCTCAACCGCCTACTGCTAATCTTTATTGTGACAATCAGAGTGCCATACAGATTGCTCATAATGATGTCTTTCATGAACGCACTAAACACCTTGAGGTTGACTGTCACTTTATTCGCCATCATGTTGCACAAGGAACTATTCATTTGTTTTCATTGGCTCTGTTGATCAATCAGTAGATCTTTTCACCAAGGCTCATTTTCTTGGACGCTTTCATACTCTTTTTTCCAAACTCAAGTTGGTGTCATCACAACTATCTTGAGTTTGAGGGGGATGTTAAGATGTGAATACATTTATTGTAAATATTTTATACATTAGAATATTCTCTTTATATGTTTTGTACCTTAGAATATTCTCTTTGTAAACACTTATATATAGGTCATTGTACATACAGTATTATTTAAAACAGTAATAAAGCTTTCTTTAGATATTTCTCTTTTTTTTCCGTTTCTAACATAAATCAACCGTACATCAGAAAGCGAACCCAGATCAGAAAATTTCAAGTAAAACCCAGAAGCAAAACTACTTACTTCTTCACTAAAGCAACAAAAAGGAGGCAAAAAAAAAAAAAAACATTTAAAACCGATTTCAATTCAGCAACAAAGCACAACATAAGAATACACCCAGATAAAAGCAAAATCCAACAAAAATAGAAACCCAAACCTCACTTGCCCTGATCGAAACTAGAACCAAAACCCCTGAGAAAAAGCACCAAGACCCAGAAAGTGATATCAAAGATTTTGAAAAGAGCAGACAAATGGGTGGTGGCTAATTAGCTAATATATTTATAAGAAACAATTGTTTAATGTGAAACAAAGGAAGATGCCCAAATAATTAGCTTCTAAGTAATTTTCAGCGTCGTTTCCCCTGCTTCCGCCAGATCTGCTTCAGGGTTTGATGCAACCCACCTCCATATTGTTTCAATTGATGATTGCTCTGTCTCTACTCCTTCTCCTGCACAGTCTTCTTCCTCAAATATCCTGCTGTCCAGCGACCCACGGGAAGTGGAAAAGCATCGTGGTAGCGATGAATCATTTGAGAAAACAGGGGAACGATCGGAGATGTCTGAGAATCGACTGGAACTGCAGAGATAGGAAAGGAGATAGAGAAAGAAAGGGCTGACTGCGTTTAGGAGTTAACGGGAAAGTAACGGGGGGTTGAGTGTGTGTAAGAGTGTGTAACGGAAGAGGGTAAACGTAGCATTATCCATGTTTTTATCATCATCTGGTCATATTCCTCCACTTTGTCTGTTGCTCGTCCCCACTCTCCAAACATATCTTTATCCCTACTAAAGCCATCGCCACCAACATTCCCGCCGCCACCGCAGGCCGCTTCCTTCATGGCAAACACACCCATTCCTTCTTTAATCGCAACCAGAGACGCCATGTGACTCGTACAGAAACTCTTTCTTCTAGGAATGGTGAGTAGCTCCGGATTACTATCAGACGTTGTACTTTTAAGTGTCTTGATGGGAGATGCCGTTAACGAAATGGGTCAGTTTAGAAAGAGGTTCCCCGCACTAACCGACGCCATCGGCGATTGTGGATATTTTAGAATCGGAGTGGAAGCGCCTCTTAAAAGCATTGTTTAAAAAACGTTTCTGTTTCTTTAAAATTTGCTGGTTTTGTTTCCCCAGAAACCTTCAACAGATAAGGGGTTTCATTAAAGAAGATGTGGTTGGAGGAAAGGAATAGTCGATCGGTGTTGAAAGAAGATGTGGTTGGAGGAGAGGAATAGTCGATCGGTGTTGAGGAGAAGCGGATATGTCGTGATAAAAATTAGGGAATGTTAGAATTTTTGTTGCACATACAGGAGTTTTAGTTGTAAATATGTGAAGAAATGATGAGCAAAATAGGAAGATTGTAATTTTCATTGAAGGATGCGGAGAAGCTCACCGAGAAGCAAGAATTATGTGCTTCTCAGTTTTTAACTTGTTAGAAGCTCAAAACACCTTCTCATCTGCTGGAACTTGCGCTTATAAAATGGGTGTTTGGCACAAGTGGGCTTTTCTAGCGAAGGACTTTTCAGCAATCCCACCAAACACACATGCAGTCTCTTACAGTTCTGACATGCCCTCTCATGTCATCAAACAACGATTATAGTTAATTAATATCATTAAAATTTTAATTAAATGATATCGATGCACTTGGGCGTTCGGATTTGATAATGTCAGCTTATGTATAAGTGTATTTTTTTTTCTTAGGGTAATGGTTTGAATCCAATTTTTTGTAAATTTGTTAAAAAAAAAAAGAAATTAAATGATAGGATATGCTAAGCATCACCAATTGTACCCAAAAAAAAATCAGAAAATGCTAAGGAAACTACCTATTTCCAAGCCAAATGAAAGCCAATCCAACGTGGTTTGTGCCACGTTATTATCAACTGCAAATGGAAGTTGATGATAATGTCATTATCATTAGTTAAAATGAAAATGATTTTAGGATAATTTTTTATATTATTTTTATATAATTTTATATACCATTTAAATAATTAATTAATTTATGTATTTAAAATGTATGATATTAAATATATTTATTTAATAATTTATAAAAATTATATAAAAAAATAATATAAAAAAATTATCTTTATCATTATCCTTATTCAAATGAAAGCTAATAATGACACGTCACAAACCACGTTGGATCGGCCTTCATCAACTTAGAATTAGTTTGCTCTTCCTAGCATTGCTTTCTATCAATTAAATGTAATTAAATAATTAAGCAATCTCAATTATTGTTATTGTTATTATTTATTATACTTTATGATCTAAAATATAAATCATTTAACTTTTTATTTATAATTTGAGATAATATTTTTTATAATATATATATTTAATAAATTAAAAAATTAGTTGCTTGGTTTTAAAGAGATTTAAATTTTTACCCCTAAATAAAATTTTTAAGGTAACTAATACTAATTTGACAAAACTTTTATTAACATTTTTTTAATAATATGTAAATGATAATTGAGATTTTATTTTATTTTTTATTAAGTAGTTTCATTTGATAAATAAATTAATTATTATGCATATACAAGACATAAAAATACATATATATATAAAAAAAAAATTCAAACTACCTGGAGGGAGTATTAAAAGAAAACAATCTAAACTCTCATCTTCCAAGTTTTCAAAATGTCCTCTCGACCTCACCCCTCTAGGGGTGGGCAAAACCGGTTTCGGTTCAAAACCGAAACCGATTTTGAATTAACCAAAAAAATTTGATTTTAATTTTGCAAACCGAAACCGAACCAAAATTGTTATAAGCTAATTGGTTCGGTTACCGATTTTTATCAATGAATTCGGTTCGGTTTTGGTTTTTATTAAATAAATATTAATTATTTATTTTTTAATAATAAATTATATTTTATCACATATTTTATTATATTTTGTTATATTTTATCATATTTTAATATATTTTATCTATTTTATCTTAATTTCGATTTTATTTTTGGTTTTCGGTTTTTAAGAGACTCAACCGAAATCGAACCAAAATATATTTGGTTAATACCGAAACCAAAAAATAGAACCAAAAACCGTTGAAACCGAACCGAATTCATTTTTTCGGTTCGATTTTCGGGTAAATAATCGGTTCGGTTGAAAAATGCCCAGCCCTACACCCCTCTATTACCCACTCCGAGGTCGCCTACTGTGCTTTAGGGATTTGGTCGACCATCCATTACTTCGATCGTATGTTCTCCATCTACACTTTCTCTCTCCTCTCTCACGCACCTTAGTTGTGGCTTTTGGGTTAGCCACCGCTTCATCTTCCCAATCTCGGATGTGAGATTAATGCGAGATTGTGGCGAAGGACTTCCTGCGAGCACATTTTGTGATTCTTTTCGTCGGGTTGAACACATTATTTTAATTTGTTAAATAATAAGTATTAATTATTTTATTAATTATTAATTTTTTTAATTAAATTAAAATAAAAATTTTATAATTTTAATTGTTTTTAAAAATTTAATAATAACCATAAACATAACTAAAATTTGATAATAGTGGCATTTAATTAACGAAATGATAAAAAAAGTACGGAAAATTTTAAATATCATTTTAATTTAAAATTAAAATTTAATAACTATATATATAGATAATTTAACATTTAAAAAATAAAAAATTTGGATTTACGCACATATATACGTATCAGTACGTAACGGGCATTCGGCCCACCAAACAATAGGAGTTTATTTGGTGTTGCTGGAATTTGTCATAGGAGTTTATTTGAGAAAATCTGTCGTAGAAGTCTTGATTTTGAGGTATTTAGTAAAATTTTTTATAAAAATAATTTTAAAGTAAAAAATTATTTAGTAAATTTTTTAAAAAAGATCTTTTAATTCAATATAATATTAAAATGATTGAAATATATATTTTCTATTTACTAAAACACCACTCCTACTTTATTTTTTATTTTATATTTTAATAAGACATTAATTTTTTTAATCATTTTAAAGTTGATAATTAAAAATTAATTCTTTATATTAGAAAACATAAATATTAGATAAATATTTATATTTTAATATTAAAAAATAAAACATACTATATTTAAAGCACATAAATAAGATAATGAAATTAAAAATAACCATCTATTTTCATAGCACCTAAAATTTTGAGCACTGAAATTCAATTCGCATCTATATTTTTCACTATTTCCCCCCATTTTTCATATCAATTCTCCACCATTTTTAACATACCAATTTTTTTTTTTTAATTTCATACCAGAATTTAATTCACTCAAAATCTATTAAATATCAAAACACTCAATTAACCAAATATGTATTCATTCATATTCCCAATTATGTACCAAAAAAAATTCATATTCCCAATTAACCAAATATTCATACAAGTACAATATTTCCACCAAATATCACCAAATTACATATGGTGGTAGTGTGTTAAAAAAATAAAAACCAAACATCAAAGTTAAAATAGAGCCCTAGCAGAATATTAAAACTTTTGTTGTATTTGGCTAGAAGGCTGGCTAAGATTGTCATTTCCTTCATTAGGGTGGCTGATGTTTGTCATAGATCTTACAATTAAAACAAAGTTGACAAAAGTTTAGAAAATAAATCTTAAGAAAGTTCAACAACACCATAATTTGACATTGAACCATTAAACTTGAACTAACATATTGAACTTTAATTTATTCTTTCTCAACAACAAATTGAAACATATGGCTTCTCTTGAATTCAATAGCACTATGATCCTTAAAGGACACAATCAGTAAACCATGATCAAGCTTAGCCATTGTGATTTTCCAAAGGAAACTAGAATAACTAAAAACCTAGAAGACAACAAAGAATTCACAACATCCCATTAACTAAAAATAGAGCAATTAATCACGACATTCATTAACTAAGAAGTGATAGGAAAGCAAAAAGAAATATATTATACTTACTCAAAATAAAACAATTCATAACATCTATTAACTAAAAATGAAATACTCATTCTTCATAGAGCATCAATAATCCACAGCATTGTACTACAAATGAAAAAGAAAACCAATCAGTTTAATTTAAGGAAATCAAGAGTACCGTATTGCCCATTACAACATTTGAAGAACCAATACCACACCTTTTTTCAGCACCATCGAAGACATCATCATGAAGAAGACTTGTGACCAAAGACAAGGAGACAATCAAATTCATTCTGAAGTAGCTCCAAGATAAGTTTCTGACATAAAAGCAATTGAATCCATGTTTATTCTAAAATCAAAGAAATCACAAAACAAAAAAGAACAATAAGAAATGGTAAAATTGATCTGAGATGAGCCTTCGAGAGCTCCCAATAGCAATGATCATTTTGGGAAAAAAAAAATGAAAATCCCAAAATTGAAAATCTCAACTTGTAATGAAATTATACAATAGAATGAGAAAAGCAAGTGAAAAGAATTAATTGTAATAGGTGGAATAGGCAAAGGAACGACAGCCTTAGCTTGCTTTGGCTTGAAAGACAAATAGTAGAGAAGTTAGCATGCAGATTGATGAATAGGAAGAAAACCAAGAAATTGACATGGAAATTGAAAGCAAAAGACATGCTTTATAGAAATCAAAACGGGGAAAAAAAGATGCAGTAATAAACCCACAAGCTCCAAGATGAAAAGTTTGAGAAAAAGGAACTTACTTGTTAGAAAAGTTTGAGAAAAGAGAGGTTACCCGCTGGATCTGGGATGAGGAGGATGAGGATGCTGGAAGTGGGATCTGGTGCAGTTGTGCAGCAAATGGAAGATGGGTATAGCAAGCAATCAACAAAGGGAGATGCAAAATCAAAAAAAGGGAAAAAAGATGGAGCATTCGGCAAATGGAGAAGATGGGTACAACAAGCAATCGGTAGATGAGGATGCCGAAAAAGTCAAGGATGAGGGATTTGGTGAGAAGTGCAGTTGATGGAAGATGGGCAGCAAAGTAGAATGGAGCAATCGAGAGGTAGAGGGAGACACAAACTTAGGGATTCTTAACAGTATATATAGTAGTTTAATTGTAATTTTGTTAAAATATGATGATAAAATAGATATAATGGGCAATTTTCATTAAATGGAGGCTAGAAGCACGCAGAAAAGCTGGGATTTCATGCTTCTCCAAATTTCAAAAGCAAGAAGCTAGCAGCAACTTCTCAACAACTCAAGTTGGCATGGAAGATATAGGTGTTTGGCACACCTTATGCTTTTAGACTTAAAAAGTCAGTTTAATTCAATTATTAGTTTATTAATTATAACTTTAATTTCATTTTAATTTAAAAAATTTATTTTCTTTCTAAATGATTTATAAACTTAATAGAATATTTCAAAATAGTGTACAGTACACAATTTTTGTTAGATTTATGAAAAAGTGTAGTCTTTTAAGTTTTGAAAAAATGACACTATAATCTTAATAAATTATGATAACTCAAGAAATGTTTTATAGAGATAAATTAATTACAATTTGTAATAAACTTAAGCAATTAGTTCAAATCAAACAAAGAAACTTAATAAATTTAAAATGAAAAATTTTAGGAGTAAGTCTGTTTTACAAGGTATATTATATGCAGTTTATCCTGTAAAATTATTTAAATATCTCAAAAAAATAGTATAAAAATAAAATTAAATACATTTAAATAATTTTATAAGACAGATTACATATATTTTGTCTTATAAAATAGTTTTTTGAAGAACATATTTAGTAAGATAAAAATAAAAACTATTTTTATAGTGAATAAAATTTAAAGACTAAAAAAATAAAAAAAATTATAATTAGAGGATTAAATTATTTTTTATAAAAAAAAAACTTTCGTTACAAATAATGGGTTAGGTAGAATCGGACCTTTAGGTTCAATGGTTTGACCCCAAACCTTAAGTGCTTGGATGAGGTGGTCGGAGTTTCGACCTCTACCACCGTGAACTCCATTAAAAAGTGATCTAATGGCCACGCGCCTCATTTGAGGGGATGGAATGTTCACCAGATCTGGAATCGAATCCCCAATTGCTAACCACTAATTCAAACTAACTTCCTAACCATTACTCTTGTCAAAAAAAAAAATAATGGGTTAAGTAAAATTGAAATAAATTTGAAAAATAATATATAAAATT